TAGAAAGGATAATGTAGTTGAATTGAGAAGGTAGATGTTTTTCTTGTAACCTTGATAATTTGTTAGCTTTAGGAAAGATTTACTTTGTGTGAATGTGCATGTGCTTCCCGTCTCTCCCCAGGAATATTGATCCACAAATGCAATTGTTTTCTTTATGGAGCTAGTTGTTGCCTGTCTCATGGTGAGGTTTGGATTCAGGTTCTGCATATTTAGCATACTGCTGAATTCAGACGTCTGTGTGAATTTGTACAATGTGGGTATTTCTTCATCAGCTGAATAGATGTATTTCCTCTGGCCCTCTCCTCCCACTTCTTTATCTGGGAGATGTGTCTGGACCAGAAAGATGAATCCAGTAGATGTCTCTGTGTCATGGGAATAGATTTAAAATTAATAGCAGGTAAATTAAAACTGCATTTGCTCCATAAATGTATTCTCTCTGTTGAATAGACTTTAAGCTGTCTGCGTCACTGCATCAGTTTATGAAGTGAAGCTGAAATACAAATATATAAACACAGATTTTGGAGAAATCATCTCAGCCTGATCTCTGAAGCACACAAGTAATTTGAAGTATTCTGGTAGCAGGAGTTATATAAGTGACACGTGTGTGCCTGGTGTAAAATTAAACCCATAACATTTAATAGGCTCAGTAATACTAAGAGTTTGATTGTTGCTTCAAAGTGATTACTCAGGTTTTTCTTGCCCTAGAATTCTATCTATCTGATAGAAAAAAAATAAATAAATTGCAGGTTAAAATTGACATTTGAGTGTTCTGCAGTTTTCTAAGTTTTATGTGTTCCAGCAACGTTGCAGCAATTCAGCTACTTGCCAGGTGTTAAGGTCTTTTCTCATATGCAGACCCATTTAAAGGGTGACCTGGGCAGCTCTCTGTGGAGCAGTGCTGCTGCCAGGGCAATGTGCAAATTCTGACAAACTGAGCCACAGCCTACAATGCAGTTGAGTTTATCAGTGTATTTATTTAGTGCTTTTCTTTGAAAATATCACCACCATTGTGCTATTGTATCCAGTACAACTGAAACACCAGTAATTGTAGAAGATTTGTGTTCCAATACTACACAGGCTCCTTAGCACCTTCATCGTGACTGAAACTACTAGCAGACTGTATTGAAACATCTCCACGGTCTGCCAGCATCTCCTGAGTTTAAAGGAAAAGCAAAAACTGCTGAAGACCTTTAGCACTATAATTTTATAGCAGTTGGAATCTCAGCCACCTGTAAAAAGATGTAAAGAAACAACAGCAAAACCTCAGCCATGTGTTAAGCAATTCTGTGATCAGTATGAGGTGCAGCTAAGCATATTGATGCTTTATGCAGAATTCTGGGATTATATATATTTTTTTTTTAAATTAAAAGGAAACCCAGGTAACCTTGTTCTGCTGAGGGATGATGTCCTGGACAAGATCTGGGATATGAAAAGAGAATATTTCACAGATGGAAATCATTCTTTGAAATAGTCACAGGGCAGGGACAAGGGTGTTTGATAGAGACTGGGCCTATGTTTTTTAAAGTTTTATGGGTTGTAGTTTGCCCTGTTTTGCGTGGAGTTGAATATGTATTATTTTTAGAGGCCAGATCATTATGTACATGCTTATTTATTCTTTGAATTACTTGCATTTAAACACCCTAAAGACAATTAATACCCAGAAATTAATAGTACATGAGACATGTTCAAGTACAGTATTACTGTATTCTGCATGAGATGCAGAATGAGGCAAAAAGATGGACAATAATTACGGCTTTTATTATTAATAGTAGGATGTTAGTAGTTTCCCCAGCACTTTGTATGTCAGTAAAAGAATCTGAGAAGACAGATGAAGTGACTTCACTAAAGTCATTCAGAAAGCAAGAAACCAAGCATAACATTGGAAAGGCTTTTTCTTTGCTGTTACTGCTATATAGTCTTTGTTTTTAACAGGAATTAATGTTCAATCCTATGCTGTCTCATCCTTGACTGTCACTAAGTTTCACTACTGTAGTTTCTAACAGATACTTACCTCAAAGGAAAGGTGTGAAGGAGAGAAATTTTTTAAGTGAATTGCTGTGGACAGCCAGCAAAAGCAGTAAATCATTGCTGTGGCACACCTTGGAAGCATTCCCTGCTGAGCTTCCGTTGAAGTGTTGGATGCCCTGTGGGAAGCAAACAGAGCTTGTAGACACTCCAGTGCCTAATTCTGATGAACCTAAAGAGAAAAACAGCATGTTGCAGAACTATCAGTCTTCTGTTAAAATACTTGCTTCATAAAAATGTTATTAGGAGCTTTTTGATTGATTCCTAGGTTGAATAATTAATTTGTAGCTAATAACTGTGCAGCTCTAATTTCATAAGTAATCCCTATTTTATTATTTGCAAGGTGTACAGAAAATTTTCTGTGTAATGGGGTTTTTTTTACTGTTCTTGTTCAAAACCTTTGACATGCTGCAGGTGGATGCTATGTTGGTGGCAAATATTGAAAGGGAATACATCTTTCACTTAATGCTGAATACATACCGAAAAAATTGGGAAGTCATATAAGGTCAGAGGAGGGAATGCACTGAGAAACCTGACTTTCCTGAGAGAATTGAGTGCTTTGTCTAAATGTTCTGTGTTTCTCCAGCATAAAAGGCATTATTGAAATATTTACCTAAGTGAGCAAGCTCCATACATTTTTGTGAAAGGCTATTTGTTTTATGTAGAAACCTGAGAGGCTTTTTAACAAAGCAAGCCAAAGGCATATCTAATGTTATAACAGTGACTGATAAAAAGTGTTAACTTCCTACAGTTACATTTTTATATAGTAAGGAAAATTTCATTGCTAAGTTGGAGATGAAAAGTGTATTATCAAGGCTCGAATATAATCCTTTGGTAAGGGATGAATGGGGATTGTTTCATTTGATGTTACCCTTGATGCTTCTGCTCTGCAGTGTTCTTTTTGAGTAGCCATTTGATTAGCCTGTAATCCAGTAAGATCAAACTTGCCTGTGTCTTCTGTTTTTCTGTCAACTACCACATCTTGTTCCACTTTATATGTGCCAAGACATCTTAGTTCCAGAGGCTACAGGTGAGGAGAGCATGCTAATACGTTTTTATTGTGTCTCTTTAATTATAATTGCAATTTAAGATTTTTTCCCCCCTTTTTGGAAATACCAAAACCCACAAATCATATTGTACCAAATTACTTGTTACTTTTTGGTCATTTCAAACAAGAAGACTGACTATTTTCCTTTGTATCAGCAAAGGGTAGTGGGAAAAAGATACATTTTATGATCTTATTTTGCTGTAAGCCTAATTTTCCGGTAAACAATCAAACTGTCTATTTGTTTGGCTTTTCACTATGCTGCATAAGCATTCTGAGTAATTTAGGTCATGTTAGTTAATTACTTCTGTCCTGTGCAGTTGTTTACTACATGAAACAAACTTGTTGCCTTTTTAAGGCTTATTTGTGGTCTTATAGTTACTTGAATACTTGAAGTTGTGATTCAGTAGTATTGAAAAGGGAGAAAAACAGTATAGTAGAGCCATCAGAAAGTTGATGGGGGGAAAAAAAAGTATTTTTGTTTTGTTTGCTGCTTTCATACTGTTTTCCACTTAATTATTTATCTGTATAAATGCATATTTGTGATTTTTGGCTTGAAAAAGACCAAAATGGGAAGAAGAAAGAAAGGCAGTTCTTCTCTAATCTCGCGTGGTTTTTCTTTAAAAGCAAAACATAAATAAGAATGTGATCTGAAATCAAGTTCAAGTAGGACCAAAAAATATATGAAATAAGCCAAAGATGTGCCATGGGATTAATTGGAAGACAATGAGCAGTGACATACAAATTAGCATGAACTAAAACTTCGTAACAGAAAAGGGTATTGACACTTACATTGCCACAGGGCATGGGTGTGGTAGGTTCCAAGTAGGATTTAACATACACAGGCATGCTAGATGTTGTCTTACTTGTTAAACTGGACTTTGGGTCACCTCCTGAATCTCTCATGTTAATGCTTGTTGGTTTCTAGCTATTGGAGGATAACAGAATTACAGTTTTTAAATGCCATTTCCTGAGTGCCATTGGTCACAGTGTGAGACTGGACCCCAAAATGCAGGAGTAAGATAAAGTATGACTGTTGTTATGTTGCTTGATGATTTGTCTGTGGTTTATTTTTTGGATAATTTTCATGAGAAACATTTATGAAGCCTGGCTTTCTAAAGGGCCTGAGTGCTGCTCACTGTCACAAAAACATACTGTCTATCAGAATAATGTCCTCTAGTCATGCAAATATGTGAATAAAATAATACTTGAAACATCTCTGGCAAACAGGCATTCTAAATCTGTGTTAGAGCTTGTTGTATTGTTAGGAGTATGAGAACAACCCAGGAGAAGAGAATAATCCAAATAATAAAACTTACTCTAGAACTCAAGTCTTGCATGCCTTATTTCAGGCTTTAGTGTATATTAGTTGTTGATTATAGACACCCTAAAAATAGGATCATATAATGGAAATGCTGACAGGTTCTGAACTATCATGATGGTAACAGGCACTGCTATAATTAGGAATGCATCTGAGTAGACAGTGTAATATGATTGCCGTGTTTATACCCTGTGCTGGAAGGAATGTTTGTTAATCTGCACAATCCTTTTAAATGAGATGGGGAGCAAGAGTTGGTGGAAAAAAGATGCTAAGGTTTATTTCGTAGTCAGGCTGATGTGCACATAGATTAAAAGACAATACTTGCAGGATATTGGATAACTGCAGTTAATTGCATAACATCCTTTTATCTCAGGACTGAGAAAAAAAAAATAGACTTTGCCTGAAAATATCAGGCACTGTAAAATTTAGCAGGACTAAACATGAAAAGTTTTCAATCTTTATATTATTAACAGAACATAGTTGAAATAGTTTGTATTTCAGTAAGACCTTTTCTTTCCTCCCTTTTTAAGCGTTTGAACTGTCCAGTCAAAAAAGTTTTCCTCCTGTTTTATTTTTGCTGTAAAACTACTCTTTCTTTTGTAATTTCAGAGGCCAGAGCCCAGCTGTTGCTGAATTTAACTTGCTCCTGAAAGCATATTCTTTGGAAACTTATGGTGTTGATCCTCATCCATGCAAGGTAACTGTTCTTTTTACTAACATTTAATTAAAAGGCATTAATTGAATTAATTTAGTCCTATTTTTTTGTCCAGGTACAAATAGGGAGTAGTGTATAAAAGAACTTGCCCTGAAATTACATATTACTTTTAAGCACTGGAAGAACATGGACTGGTTGACTTTTCTGCATCAGTTAAACAAAAGGTCTCTCCAGAGGAAGCAGAACATCATAGGAGAGCAGAGTTAAGAGTATCATGACAAAACCTTTGATTATACTTCATAATTTCTTTTCATAAAATGCAAATGATTCTCTAAAGACTCTAGCTGTGAAATGTTTTGTTTGCCAAGATATTCAGGAATCAACATTACTGATGTCCATAAGATGCAACAAATTAGTTAGTCCTTGGCACCACCAAAATACTCAAATATTAGGAAGAACAGCAGACCAAAGGTACAGAAGGGAGAATGAGATACACACTTGCATATTCCTCCACTTTCCTGTTTTGTGGTTCTTTATAAGAAGGTGATTCTAATTACTAATCTCTTACACCTGCATTCTTAATGTTGTTTTTATCTGCATAATCTGTAATGTTTGTTTTTAGAGTTAATTGCTTCATGTTTTAACTGCTGCTATTGCTTTGGCTTGTATACCACCACATTTGGTGGAAGACCAGTGTATTCCAGTTAGCTGTTCTGGTGGTGAGTGCCTTTAGAAGTCACCTCTAACACGGAGCTGAATTGGATTTCACATACACTTTGCTAGGAATGATGGTCCTGTGTGAAATACTGGGTCCAGTTCACAGCTCAGTGAGTTTAGTAAACTTTAGTTTGAAACTATACTGCAAATTTTTAGAGACCATCCCAAAGACCTAAGTTGGCACTTAGGACAAAGTCAAAACAGGCTTTGAATTTCCTCCACCTGTGTGGCAGGGCTTGCAGTGTGAGGGTATGCAGGGATTCACAGCCAATGCTTAAGGAAAACGTTTCAGTCTTCTGGAAGTGAACTGCAGAGAAAGGTGCTTCCCTGGCTTCTTACGACGTGCTCCTTCCAATGCTGTGGCTCCAGAAGTGTCACTGTTTCTGTTCTCCCTTATTTTATTGCTGGAACGTAAGGCACAATAAAGCTGACTAACTTTAGCAAGGTGAGGGTCTGGAATGTAGGATGGACAGGAAATCCATCTAATAAAAGACTCATCTGAATCATTGCTCAAAAACGATAAGCCAGAACTTTTATTGTGGAGTTAAATTTTTTTTAAACAGTCTTTCCTATTTGAAAGGCAAGTATCACCATATGTTCTGGTTGGCATGCAAGAGTATTTGCTTATTGTAGTAAATGCTATCTGTCAGCAGTACTTCAAACACAGTCTCTCACAGAGGAGTAAAGTATTGTGAAATCTTAAAAAATATCAATGCTGAAGCAGATATGAATCCCTGGCTGTAGTTTGTTAGCACAATAAAAATGGGACATACACAGAATAATGTTATTTACAACAATATTAGAAAGTATTCCTAAGGATTTCCTGTTGTCATCAGCTATAAGTAGATGGAAACAAAGCATAAGACGCTATCACTCAGTTAATTGCCTAGAAATAAATAAAGTCTGTATTGCCAAGAGCAGGCTTTGTTCTTTAGAAATCTGCAATTTGAAGACAACCTTTATTTTGAAAAGGAAAACAAAATAAAGTTAATCTATAATAGAGTAACAATGTGTACTATCAATAAGAAATATGTCACTGGATGAGGGGAAAATTGTATTTCTCTCTTCTCTTTCAAGGACTCAACAGGAACAACTACATTTTTAGGATTCACAGCTGCAGGATTTGTAGTTTTCCAGGGGAATAAAAGAACTCATTTGTTAAAATGGTAAGCATATGAAGTAAGAGTAGATTAATAGGCAAGTGTCTTTTCTCTTTCCTCCTTCCTACTATCCTCATGTACATGTGTAGTCTTCAAGGTGAACTATGTGAATATTCCTTCTTTCACCCCATCATGTTTCTGTTTTAAAGGATCTTAGATGAGAAGTATTATAATAATAATTTGGTCTCATTCTAAATCCAGTTAAAATTATTCCACAAGGTGGAATAGTCAACACAGTGCTATGCTGTAAATCACCAGTGAGACTTACCTTTATTTGTAACTCTTGGAAATGTTGCTGTTTCCTCATTTAATTAACCTCAATTGGAAAACTACAAAAGCACTTATTTAGTAAGCACAAGATGAGGTGAGAATGCCTTAACATTTTTTTTTTTCCAACCTCTTTTTTTAAGAAGTGGAAACTTGTGCAATTATCTTTGTTTTGTTTGGCTTTGCTTTGATTTTCCACTCCTGTAAAACATTTTACTTAATTGGGCATCCTCAGCCATGTTTGAGGGAGGTGCTCCTGCAGGTGGTGTAACAGCAGCTGGCCATGCCTTCATCAACGTGGTACATAGTGGGCACAGTCATGCTCAGACTTTGACGAATCTCATTTTAATCCTGCTGCTAAACAGATGCCAGCAGCAGTAAGATATGCCAGCAGCAGCACTTAGATATGTCTGCTCCATCTCGGCGCTCCCAGCCTGTCTTGTGGGATGAAGATGGGCAGGCGGTGCGGAAAGGGTGAGGTGCTTCTTTGTGTAGAGCTGGATTCTTTGCTATGTATCCATAGAAATCTTCCTGAGAACTGAATAACCTGAAATCCTTGGAGGTGTGAAGTCAGTGTAGTCCTGGTATGATTCAGTTCCCAGTGGAGCTCTGGGATCTTGTCTGTTGAGCAACACCCAATTGTGATCATGTAGTTTCCCTAGGGTTAATTTCAGGTATCCCTAGCCACAGTGATTCGGTGGTTTGCATTTGGCCTGAGAGTCTTAACTGTAACATCAATCTTGAGTGCAGGGAGAAGCAAATAGCAATTGCCAAGCATGTACCAACCATACTGTGAGAAATGAGTTTCACAGTTCTTAGTTTTTCATGTTACTCAAGGATAATATGACCGTTTGGAGACCCTGGTGTATTAATTTAGTCCTTGGCATGTAAACCAGATACAAAATGAAATAGTGATAGCAGAAAAGCCATTAAACTGTTTGTGTTACTCTGGCCATTGAAAGGTTGATCTCATGAGATTTATCTGAACATCATGTTCTGCTCCTTTCATTTCTGAGACCTATAAGAAAGTGCTAGTATCTTTAACTGATACTACCTGAATTTGCAATACATAGTGAAAATAAAAATTAATTTTTGAGATTTCCTTTTCAACTGATAATCTTTCTCAATTAGAAAGTTGTTTTTTGTGTGTGTGTGTGTGTTACTCTTTACTGTTACAGCAAAACTGTCATTATAAAGTTCCCAGGATAGCATTCTTCTTGCCTCCAGAATAGCTCCCATTTCAATAATCTGGTATCCAAAATCCTTAGAAAAATTTTATGAAAAACTACCATGTCTCCATTTTATGACAAAATTTCCATTACAATTTAAGCACAGGCATTGTATTGCCTTTATATGGAGCACTGCTATTCCATATGTAGACTGTGTGTTCAACCTCCGTTAAATTAAATTTTGAAATAGGTTTGCAACTCACAAGACCCCAGTAATAAGTGCTGTCAAACATATATGTTTTCTTCCTGTTGAGTTCTGACTCTTAAGTAGTCAGTTACTAAGATGTGTGATGTAGAACCTCAAATAAGGATAAAGATGAGAAGTTGCTGGTAGAATGTGCCCACATCTGAAAAATTGTATGCCTTCTTATGCAACATATGCAGGCTAAGAGTGTTACCATTCTCTCAAGTTAATTACATTAGAAGTTCCAAGATTTTAAGATATAAGAGAAATTACAAACTGCACAATAAATAGAATGTAAACATAAGCTTCTGCCTACTTTTAATTTCCTCTTCATTTTCCAGCAGCCAAAATTAATTCTTTGAAGATGCATAAGGATGTAAAAGAAACACTCTGGGCTTATATACTCTACTTAAAAGAAAATTAGAATATTAAATTCTTTATGCTAAAAATTGTAAAATTTCTTTTGAGGTTCTTTGTCATTTGACAGGCTGCTTGGCCTTACAAATCAGTGAAACTTGCATGCAAGTTGCTTTCCTTACCTGTAAATCTATCTATTTTTCCTATACTTAAATGATTTTTCTCTTTCTAGGTGTGATGTTTATAAACTGAAATTTGAAGGGAAGACTTTTTATGTGTCTGGAGCTCAGAAAGGGGTCAGTTAAAATAACTGCTGTATTTGATTTAGAGTTAACTAAAACATAATGTGTTGGTTTTTTTTAACCAAACAAACTGCTAAACAATCAATAATTGTGCTCCATAGTGTAGCTAAACGGTGGACTATAAGTGAACATGAATATTGCTGGTGGCAAAAAATGTCTGATTTCCAAAAGGTTGAGACATATCTTGCTTAACATTTATACAGTGCTGTGTCAATTGCTCATTGTTTTGGTCATTTATGTAGTCAGGTTTTAATGGATTTTAAAGCACTAAAGCTGTACCTTGCCACTTTAAAGCATGAGTGACATTTGTATATGAATAAAAATTCAGGTGGGCTACCTGCATCAGTGTGAGGTATTTTTTGTTTATTACTATCATCTCCTCAAATTTTGTTCAGCTAAATAGGCTGGAGTCTTGCAGTACCTGAAGGGGCAACAGTTTCAAACTGAAATGAGACATTAGGAAGAAACTGATTACTGTGGAGGTGGTGACATGCTGGCACAGATTCCCAGGGAAGTTGTGGATGTCCCCTCCCTGGAAGTGTTCAAGCCCAGACTGGATAGGGCTTGGAGGAGCTAGGTCTAGTGAGAGATGTCACTGCCCATAGCAGTGGGGTTGGAACTAGATGATCTTTAAAGTCCCATCCAATCCAAACAATTCTGTGATTCTATGATATGCTCATTTCTGCCCTCTCCAAGCATCCTCTCTTATTTCTGAAACAATTGCCTAGGCAGCTTAAATATCAGCCACATTTGTTTGTACTTTTGTGGGTGAACCACAGATTGAGGCTACACAGGAAAACTTAGTCTTCTGTGTGTTTGGTTCAGGGTAATGTTGTCCGGTACAACTACTTCAGTCTTTGATAAATGAATATATTCATTACTTTTATTTGCCTTCTTTTCCATGTACTTAGAAAAAGGCCGTACTGACATTCCATACCTCTACACCAGCAGCCTGCAAGCATCTTTGGAAATGTGGGGTGGAGAACCAGGCTTTTTACAAGTATGTAAACCAGAAGTCATTATCTGTTCTAAAAGTAAAAAGATGTGCATGTGAGTAGAATTTTGTTCAATGTTAAATTTTCCATTTGATTAACAAAATTCAAAATGCAAACAGAAAATATGCAAGCTAACGGGGAATATTTTTTCATGTTGCACCATTTTATAAATAGTTTAAGATCTAAATGAGACAGGAAGGTTTTGGCAGTGAATTACTACACCTTTTCCAGCACACTGTTTTTGCTGCTTGGTAGTGTGACGTTTGGATGGACACAGTACTGCACTTGCGTCTGGGAACACAGTTGTTAATCTTAACCCTGTTGTTGAATACCTTGAGGATGGAGGAACAATCTGTTATGCTTGGTGCTCTGTGCTCTTCTGCCTTTAGGAAATGTTCCCCCACCTCAAATCCAAGGTAGTAAGAGTTGATTGGAAAATAAAAATAAACATTCTCTTTCAAGATTGAAAAAAAAGAAAAAGTTCTTAGATATATTTTAGGAGTTGCCAGTCATCTCATTTTAAAAAGAAGAGGCCTGTAAATTGACAAGAAAAAATAAGTATCTTCCTCCTTGATTGCTAAAAGAGAACCTGAAGATAGTTAATAATTAAAAAGATCTTACGTATTCTTTCTTTCCTCCATTGACTTTTTATTATGTGTTTATTGATGCTTCCCTTTACGCATGTGTCTTTCATTCTTCTCCTTTGTCTCTCCTTACAGCATCTTGCTTATTTTTTAATAGAAAATACTGTTTCTGTGTTGGAGCTTAGCAACACCAGGGGACTGCTCTAAGGGTAAATAATAACTAAGTAAGGTAAATTTACGTAGGGTAAGCTAGATAGGAAGAATGTATCTTCTAACATGGATGTTAGTGAATTCCTTTATTTTGGAGAAGTCTCCTTTTGTTTCAGCATTGATACAACAATATATCAATATAATCTATTCAATTGATAGATTGAATGAAGAAACAGGGAATATGAACAGGCACAATAAAATTGTTAATTCTCTATGTTAACATCTACTGTGTTTGAGACTGAATTAATAAAAAGATTATCAGGAAATTTTGTCCATTGAAAATACACATAAATAGGAAAATAGGGCAGGATGTTTGAGCAGTTTTATTTTAGGTTCCTAGAAATAAATACAGGGAATAGGAAATTATTTCCACCCAAATGAGAAAAATTAGTGTTCAAACTCAAGATGTCTGAGGGAGTATCATAGGGATATCCTCTCTGTGTTCTTATTGTTAGATGGATGTAATATTGACTGTTTGGGGTTTAATCACAAATACACTATTGTGTTGGATTGGGCCTTCACTAGGTGCCAGATGTCCACCCAGCTGCTCTCTCCCTCTTTAACTGGTCAAAGGGAGAAAATATGACCAAAAACCTCATGGGCTGGGATAAAGACAGGAAAATGCTTACCAGTACTGTCACAGACAAGAAAAACTTGACCTGGCAGGGGCTAATTTAATTTGTTTCTCTCCTTCTTGCTCTGGTTTTAAATGGCAGTAAAGACAAAACTAGAAACAGCCCTTGCCTATTTCGTCCCAGGCTCACTCTCTGATTTCCTGACTCCTCTTATGTTCTCCTTGCCCTGAGCAATGCAAGGAGATGGGGGTTGCAGTCAGTTCATATCAGTTTTTCTCTGCTGCTTTTCCTCCTCACTCTTTTCCCCGTTCCATTGTCTTTCATGGACAGCTCCAGCATGAGTCCTTCCTGTGGGATGCCGTCCCATAGGCTAAACCTGCTGCAGCATGGAATCCTCTCCATGGACCATGATTCCTGCCAGGAGCCCTCTCCTGTGTGGGCTTTCCATGGTCTGCAGTATGAGTATCTCTTCCACTGTTGAACTCCATGGGCTGCAGAGGGGCAGCCTGATCCACCATGGTCTTCTCCACAGGCTGCAGTGTAGTCTCTGCTCTGGCACTTGGAGCACCTCCTTCCTATCTTTCTTCTCTGACCTTGGTGTCTGCAAGGCTGCATCTGTAATTTTTTTTTCTGCTTTCCAAATGTCTTCAGAGCACTACTGTGGGGTTATTTCTTTAGCAGGATTGCTTAAAGTTCTGCTTGCCTGTTTAAATTTCAGTGGGTCTTTTAAGAGGACTACTTTAGTAAAATGAAGATTGGTAGTGACATTCAATGGAGAGGAACCTGGCTAATAGATTGGAAAATAGCAATGATTGATATGCTGAGTGCAGAAGAATAACAACAATCCTTCAAACATGAAATTAAATCCAAAGGGTCTGTGAAAATAGAGGTTCAGTACACTAGCTTTGAAACAGAAAACATTTTCTTACATTTCAGAGAAACTGAGCTGTACAGTATAGACTGTTAGTTACATAACAGCATTAGATAAATCCTGTTTGTTCATGGTCTGTATGATACCAATAAAGTATTCTAATTAGATTAGAACAGACATAGCCATGTTGTGTAAGCAAAGATGATGATAACAACATTTTGGCTTAGTTAGATGTGGTCCTCTCCTCTGGTTAGAAGAGCTTGAGATGTGTACTTATAGATAGGATCAGATCTCTTGGTATGTTTTAAAAAAAACCCAGAGCTTTAGTCCTGTCTCATTTGAAGCTCTCGGTTGACTGTTGTGATTACTTGCAAATAGATATGAATCACAACAGATTGTCTACTAGGCTCTGGAAATGAGAGGCTCAATATGAAATTGATTTGCTGTTGTGAAGGCAGAGAACATCAAGGAGATGGCGTGTGTGAGGTGCTTGTCCATGATCTCTGTGATAAGACAGTGATAGAGGGTTGCTGTGTACTGTGTAATTAAAGAGAAGTAGTAGGATATGAGGTAGGCTGCTAAAAAGTTGACTGTATAGAGGCATTGGAAATTCAACTACTTTTGGAAACAGGTGTTCCCACTTCTTCTGTTTTATGCACACTTTATATTCTAATTTGTATAAAAGTCTTAAAAAAGTTGGAAAGTCTTATTACTGATTATTACTTTGTGGTATAAAAATAAGAAAGTTCTAGTTGGCCTTACTAATTTTTGCTTGTCCAGTTCCTTCTGTGCTAAAAATGTGACAGCCCATGTTCTTTTTCTTCAAGGTATGCAAAATCCAGTCAGATCAAGACCATGTCCAGCAGCAAGATATTTTTTAAAGGCAGTAGATTTCGATACAGGTGGGTGTTCGTTGTTTTTCCTCATGATAAACCATTTCAGAAATTAAGATGGAATTTCAGTAATTACCCAAGGCAAATTGAGGGCTTTTCCTTCTGGAGGGCCTGTTCACGCTAATCCAGGTCAGGATTAAAAAGATGTTCTGTTATCTCTTTAGCATCACTTATAACATAAGCTAGAGGATTTGTGCAGACTTCTGCCAAAGAGCAGTTTCACCAGGACGGGGTTTACAGAACCACAGAATCGCAGAATGTTAGAGGTTGGAAGGGACCTCTGAAGATCATTGAGTCCAACCCCCCTTTCAGAGCAGAACCAAATCTAGGGCAGATTGCTCAGGAATGCATCCAGGGTTCTACTTGTGGAGCAGCTTTTGTGAAAACAAGGATGAGTCGCTAGTGTAGAGGTCATATGCGTCCTGTAACTGGGCAACTGTAGACCAGGGATGCCTTAGTGGGACCATTCAGTCCCACTCCTAGCGTTCTACTGCAATAGGTTGCTTTTTCTTCAGCATCTCTGCACACAATGTCATCTGGGACATTATATGTGCACTACATGGGATTTTATTGTTTTACTTTTTGTTTTTTTCATTTGGGTGTAACTTACTGTTCATGTATGAACAATCCTTGTCATGTAATGAGTTCCTCTTAGCATGTGCTTAATTTCATGTTTTAATGCAGTGGGAAAGTAGCCAAAGAAGTTGTGGAGGCAAGCTCTAAAATCCAGAGGGAACCTCCAGAAGTTCACAGGTATGTCTTGATGTTCAATATTAAATTTTAAGGACTAAGGAGGATTATTGTTCTCTACAGAGAAATTCTCTTTTCCTTTACTGGAAGATAGGATGGCTGTAATTCTGAGCTTCTACAGTGAGGCATGCAAGCCTTGGGAACTTCTTGTTGTCAGTGTTACAAAATTCTGACAGTAGTGTATTGTCTCGTACACAAGGACACTTATTTGGTGCAGCTTTGAACCTGGGTTTAACCAATCAGTCAGATAAGTATTTTTTATTATTTTCTGTGTTATGACATAGACCGTTATTACACGTTCCTGACAGAAACATACATTCTCATTTCATTCCTAGTTCTTGGCTGGTTTTGAAAGATTCTGTTTTGTGGATGTATATGGGTATGTTTAAAGATACAGTTGATAATTTTTCCATAACACAGTCAGATGCTAAAGCAAGAATTTCATTCAGTAAAGAGAAGAAATACCAGAGAATCTTTTTTTTTCAGAGAAAAAAAGATTTGGCTTGTTAGAAATGTGCAGCTGGATTTTGCAGGCAATCTAATACTTTCTTCTCCTTATCACTCATTGTAGTTACAGTGAAAATTTATAAGAACCTGATTAAAGTTCTTCAAAACAGAAGAAAGAGGCCAGCAGGAAAATGCTATTTTAAAACTTTTTTTAAAAGGTTATGTAACTTTCTGGTCATTTTACAGCCATATCCCTAATTTTTCTGTGATTTTTTTTTTTTTTTTTCCAAGGGTAAGGAGTGTGTGTTTTATTTTTAATTGAATATGGCTATTCCATTTATATTTAAGAGAAAAGTGCACTGTCTTTGCTAAAGAGTAGGAATATATTTGCAGCAAATACATATACATATGTTGCCCAGCCCTACTATGTAATAGTAAAGTCATGCAGGGATGCTTGTGAACATGGCTTTTGCAGATTGCATTTAAAAATTGAGTAATTAATGGTCTGGAATGTGTTAATTGAGAGGACAGAAGGCAGAATATAGGTCCATCATTAAGGAAAGGTGGATTAGCTGGGCACACAAATGCATTTTAAATGAAAATATTTACTCGCATAAGGAAATAGCTTATTACCAATTTCCCTAGGGTTTCTTTCTTCCATAGGTTAATAAAAGATTTTTCAGGTTAAATTGTTTTTTATCTTGTATTTTTCTTTGCTTTGCTTCCAGTATTTAAAGTATTTTAAACATATTGTTTAAAACTCTTTAGTGTACATAAACAAACAGATCAGAGGGGAAATATAGAGCAATGTAATTTGGATTTCACACTAAGAAATAGTAATGTATGTATTTTTTTGTGATTAGCGTTATTTAAATGTGTGCCTTTTCATTTTTATGGTAGCACCAAGTTTGCTTTGCTGCAAAGACTTAAGAAAAAGTCTAATTATTTCAAGTGTTTTTATAATGCAGGTTTTGGAATGAGAAACACCAGTAGATAGCATGTCCTTCAAATAGCACAAGTAGTCAAAAAACAGAAAATATTCAGGTCAAAAAACCCTAAGCTTCAGAAACAAGTTACTCTGGGAAAGAGGATCTGAAGACAGAAAATGTTAGTTTTTCAGATGTGAAACATTTGGAAGAAATTATATGCTTGAAGGTTAATATAGATATCTTTCTATATGTATGAAGTTTTCTCTCCCGGTGTCCCCTCTCTCAAAGTCAATCCAGTGGTACCATAGCTGAATTGAGAAAGAAGCATGCAGTTATGAGGAGATTACTGTTCAGTATCTTCGTGTTTGGATACTACACTTAAAGCACTACAGACTGAAAATCTATTGGAGTGTGCAGTCATGCAGCATTAGTGCGGTGGCAAATTCTTCTGATGAATACACAATGAGTGAGTCAACAGCATCCCTTAAACTTTTCTGAGAATGTTCAACACCTGCCTCCAGGGAAGTTTCTTAACAGCTAAGACAAGAAAGAAAACCAGCCTGACCACCTGGAGGCATGGTGTAGAGGCAGTGTCTGGGGTTCGTGAGAATGAGCGCACTGTGTATTTTTTAACTGAAGAAATATGGTTGTGCCTGCTTTAGCCTTTAGTCTGCAATGCTCAAACCATATCAGATCTTCTACTCACTCCTGGTGGCAGTGGAACAACATCAGGAAAATTATTTGTATCTGCTCTGCCTTCCCTTTCCTTGAAGACAAATACTCCTGTCTGCTGTCAGTGTGGAGAGGTGCATCACTGAAATCCTATCTGAGACAAGAAGGAGTCAGGCTGTGTAAAGGGAAGTAAACCAGCACAAAACCTTCTCTTACAATTCAGATGTCGAAAGGTTTGTATCTGCTGAGGGTACAAAATAGCATGGCTGAAAGCAGTGTTTGGTGTGCAGAACTTGCTATGATGGCTCAAGGCCTATTGTAATTTATGCAAAACAATTCTGAGATGAGACATATTGGACTGCAGTTTTTTTCCTTGTGAATAATCTGACTCTGTTTTTCCCATTCTTTTAGAACCATCATTACCCAGAGTCGGAGCTCTCCCTCATTGAGCAAGCAACTCATAATCAACATGGAACCCCTGCAGCCTCTTCTTCCTTCTCCCTGCGAGGAGGAAGAGGTATTTTTAGATGAGGGTGAGTTACTTGCACAATTCCTGCCAAATGCTACTAATATTTACTATAAAGATATGCCAAAAAAGGTGTGTTCCTGACTCAGGGATATAGAAAAAATCTAATCATTTCCAATAGGAGTGCATCGCTAAGGCTCTGCACATTGTAATGGGAATTTATCACTAGGTCAGGGAACTGTGTGCAAGCCTCATGTGAGATACATTGTAAGAAAAGTTACTGCTGTTAAGCTTTCTATTTAAAAAATCTTTTTTTAGATTGTTAGGTGAAAGGAACTCAACAGGAAATAAATAATTAAACATAGAAGCAGTTTACTAAGTAGTAACTGCAGTTACTCAGGAGTGAAAACTGGCAGTTTATTGCTTTTTCTTGCTTTCCTTGATTTCTAAATTTGTATCTTTCTATACTAATGTTAGGAAAAACTCTGCTAATTTAATCCCATTAACAAAAGGAGTTGTTATTGGAAGATCCATTTGAATGTATTTTATAGAACAAGGTTTTCCATGTATATGTTTATTTCTTGGTGTTTTCAAAAATCACATTCAACAGTTATCTTTTTGAGATGCAGCCATTACAAGGAATGGTGTGAGCATCTTAGCCAGTTTAAATGAGGATAACTGCATTCTTTCTAGTAAAAAAGGAAGCCAACCAAACAAAATCTAACAATAGTTCTTACTTCAGATGTAGTGATCTAGCTGTTTCAGAAGTTAGGAAATACGACTTCTGCTGTTCCTGTGTTAATTAATGGGAAACAAAACAACTGTGCAAACGTGTTCCTTTTCACGGGGGTGTGTCCTAACATCATTTTATAGGAGTGATATGAACATGCTCTGTTCATTCGTTAGAGTTTCAATGCTGAATGTAGTAAGAACAGGACAAATTAGATTATTTGTATACTTAGCTTAATATCATGAGTGGTAGTAGCTGCACAATGTGTAGTTAATTTTAACAATTAGTTTTTACATCTGCTGTGAAATACCTTTATCTGATGATGCACTTTCTGGCAGCCAAGTACCAACCACTGTGTTCCTGCTAGGCAGTTGTCACCACTGCAGAGTAACAACAGCTTGCTGATTGTTAGACTGCTGTGCCACACTTACAACTCCAAGCAATGAAACTCATTTTTGGAAACTGCTGACTTGATGAGTACTGTTTGAAATGTACAGAATTTTAAGTCACATTTCCTTTTAGTCAGACTATTGTTACTACAACAATTTAATAGAAATATTTGCTGATGGCCTTCTAGAATATGTTTTGCACAGTTAAATACTACCAGCTGCTAAGTTAACAGTATTTAGGTCTTCTACAGTTTTTTTCTGCAGTGAAATTGGCTATCTTACCAAATTACAACTTGAACTGATCTCACAGCTTTCTGATGCTGACACTGGCTCTCTTCCCTATATCCACTCAATCCACTCCTGTGGAATCCCATCTTCTCCCGTACACCAGCATTAATCACCACAGAGTGAACTGGGAGAAGGAGTTTAAAAAAAAACCCAACAAAACACAAATCCAAACAAAAAATAACATCAATCAATAAATAAATTGAACCAACAACTCCCTAACAGTGCAGTGCTCCACTACAGACTGGCTCAGCCTCTGAGTGCCTCCTAAGAGAGCGCTGGGCAAGGTCCAGTGTGAGGGTGAGGGCAAGAGCAGGAGCAGGAGGTGGGGAGAGGGGAGGCAGCTAGACCTGGGACTGACTCGGCTCTATTGCAAAACTGCTATTAAGGGTGCTACACATGTGAAACAGCCTTGGCATTTCTCAATACATTCAGGCCTGAGGAAGGAGTGGACACCCTGGTATGCTTTCCAAAGGGCCTGCAGATGCTGTTGAGAATGCAATGGGTTGGCTAATGCAGTTTCCAGGACCCATGCTTGTATTTTTACAAGGTGCTACTATATACATATGCTGCTGTTGTCCGAAACCTTCACATGGTGTTGTGTAGATGGGTCCAAGCAATTTGTTAGCAGAGCCAGGCTATAATGGTGCTGTCAGCAGCGCATATCTTGGGCAGACTCAGGAGAGTGCACAACTTTGTCTTTTGGCTGAGCACAACTTACTTGTGCTTAGTTTGGAATTGGCTTTATATACTATGAGCAAAACACGTGGCCAAAAAATATGATAGCCTTGTTGTCTTGAGTAAATACATCTGCTTCCTGAAACTTCTGGAGAGATTCATTCTGAGTTGGCTGAGGCTGGGTGGGATGAAACTGAACTAGCAGAAACTGCTGGGTGAGAGGGAAGATACGGTGCCAATCACTTGATAGTTGCTAGGGGACAAAACCATTTAAGAAAGCTACAGCAGACACTGTGGGGAATTTTGAGCAGCTTCAGCCTGCCTTACTGTCCTGTGGATAATCCTTTTAGATGAAAAGTAAACATGATGCAACCAAATACTGAAAACCAACTAAAGCTATATGAAATTTCATTTTACAAATCCGCTTTGGCTATCATACTGAAGTGAAGCTACCTCCAAAAAAAGCCCAAATTTTCCCGTGGTTTTACAGACATGTAAGAAAGGTTATACTGATTACTGATCATAAATGACCGCTGTTTGTTGGAAGAAAGATACTGAATACCCATGATAGTCAGCTGTTATTTTAGCAGTTGACACCTTACACAAAAGGGTTTGAAAACAAATACTGGCTTTTTTTTTTTTTTTTTCCCAATTAGAATGTAGACAAAAATATCCTGAATTTGTCTGTTGGTGTATCATGCTTCAAGAGGCTGTTCTTTAGTCTCCACTTAGAGGCCATATTGAGCTGTCCAATTACTAATTTACGAACCAAGATTTGAATTGGCATTCTTATTTAAATGTGCTTTTATTCCTTTGTTAAATTCCAATTGTGTAAGTGACTAGCCAAAGAGATTGGTCACAAGCCAATATATATTTTTTTACAAATTAATAAACTAATCTTGAGTCCTAAAGCTTCAGGTTTTGCAGGTCATCTCCAAGTGCTGTGTTGTTACTGTTTAAGATTCTTCAAGCTTTTGCACTCCTTATTACTGGCTCTTGTTTTATACCAATGTCCTTTCTGTCTCAGGAAGAGGGAAGAAGAATGGTAGTGTAAAGATACAATCATAAAATTACCATTGTGCATAGAAGGTTACAACATGGAATTAGATTTTATATTTATGAGTGTTAGATATGCATAGACTGGGAATTCCAGTCCTTTGAGCTTAAAAGACATTCTTCAAAAGGCACCCAGCTGCAAAAGTTCTAATTGTATCCCCAAGTATGATTTAAAATTCATTTTTGTCACAGGTGGGCAAATTAGGTCTTTCTGAATGGTCCTTTTAGGTCCCTTCCATGGTCCTTGGTTCATATAGAGCTGAACATGTTATATTTCTTTTGGTATTGCTATGGGAATTGATTTGGTGAGATGTATTGTTGTTTGTCCTGATCACTTACCAATTATTTTTCAGGTGGTAGATCTTTGTCTTTGGATTTCTCAGCACCAGGTGCTATCAGTAGTCCCATTTAAAAAGAGAAAAAAACCAAACAAACTACACCTCTGAGTCATTAATATCTGAAGATATTAATGTGGTTTTGACAGAATGATGAAAGCTTATTTTAAGTTGGTTGATACTTGTCTACCAAGGTTTCATACATAGTTGTGTTTTTTTTTGTGGTGACATTGACTTTTACCTTTGAAGCAACCAAAATGAAAGTAGCATGATTCAGTCATTCTTTTGATTAATGTACTTTGTACTGTATTAGAGAAGAGAGAGAGTTGATGGCACAAACTCGTTGTAAATTCCTCCTGTTTAGAATTCATGTTTCTCAGTTTTTCCTTCCTGTGAGTGACATACTTTTTAGATGTCCTCACTGGTATTTTAAGAATTTTTTTCTTACGAAATTGTATGTCTGTGTTGTGTGCAGAGATTGGTACCCTTCAGAAAACTTATTTTTGTGTGTCATTCAAGTATAAGAAATACTGTATTAATGACAATTTGATTGTCAATAATTATATCTTTATTTTGTAGTGTGAAGTCTTTGCTGCATCTTACAAACATGTATGGGAATGATCAAACACCAGCTACTACCAATCTAGTTGCTTGTCTGTGTGTGTGTGTTCTCCTTTATGTAAGCTTTTGTTGTAGAGCAGAGGCACATGGATCTTTTGTGGGTGCAGCTTAGGCAACAACAAATGAAAAACTGGCCACTTATGAATAACAATGTGAATAAATATTAAAAATATGCTAGCATAAGATGAAATAATGTGAAGTGACTGTTCCCTAGTTATGTTTGTAGAGCCAGAACACACTAACAGGTAATCCAGTGCACCACTTATTTTTCCGGGGCACAACTCGTTGTTTAATTTAATTTTTATTTGGAAAAAAATACTATTTTGGTGCTGACTGTTTCTCTGGGCAGAACTAATACATAGCTTGTCAGTGTTAATATTATTAAAATCATACCTGCTGTATGCAGAATACAGTTTATCTTGATACATCAGATAGAGAGAAATTGACAGAAGCAGTACTCCTGTTACCTGATTGTACCTGATGTATGTGTGTTTGTGGTAATAAAAATTGTTATATATACTTAATTAGATATCTTAGTGGTTTTTCTAAATAAAAAATGTTTATGTTTAGCTGTCTATGGTCTACAAAGATAGTTAATTTCTTATAATAATTCCATTAAATTTAGTAGAGGACAAAGTGAACATCCTGAAGTCAGGTTATATGTAACAGAATTTTATACTTGTTTTTTTGGTAGGTTTTTTGTGTTGAGATTGTTCTCTGATTTATGGAATAAAGTCTGGTCATCTTAAGTTTTTCCCACTACTGTGCACTTTGCCTTGCAATTTTCTGGGAGCCTCCCAAAGAGTGTTGTGGCCTCAGAAGATCTTGATATGACTGTGTGCATCACCATCTCTGTGTTCAATAAACTAAGTTGAATTTACACTCATCTAAGAACATAATTGAATCCTACAAGATATGAAAACAACTTGCACAAACAAACCTTTTGCGTTAAGGTAATATTAGCTAATGCTAG